GGCGCTCGGGTCCCAACAAGGCGGTGGTGGCTGTCAAGCTCCCAGGTGCTTCATGAAAACCAGGCTCTGGCCTGAGCCCCGTGGGGCGTCACCGGGCACCTCTGCTCTCCTCCCCGGTGAGGCTCACAGATGCTTCCGAAGTAGGATTCACGAAGATCTCCTACACTGTTTTGGGCTGTTGTTTTCTATTTTCTCTTTGTTGACTAGTTCTGGAATGTTCCTAGCAGCAGCCTGTCAACCTTGTTCCCCTGCTGCAAGTTAGGGGTTTCATTTTTGCAGCTCAGATGCCCCGCAGCTGGTGTTCCCCTGGCTCTCTCTGGACCTGGGTCCTCACTTCCTCCTCTCTATGGCCCGTGCAGGTGGCCTGTCTCCACACCCCAGCAGCTCAGAGCTCCCGCTTTCTCCCGGTCTCACTGCAGGAGGACTTTCCATTTCTGCTACTGTTCTCACGGATTTGGGGAAAGGGGAAATACTTGTCATGGGCTGGTGGCTCTGCCTGGACGGGGTTAGCGCCTTCTCACCAGGAAAAGCCATGCAGCTCCATGAGCAGGAGCTGATTGGGGCACCTCTTAGGGCCCACCCCTTTTCTTTCCTGTTTTTCTGAATATTTCCTCCCTTTTGTTGTCCTTTTATCTATTTTCATGATTTTGATGTTCAAAACTAAAGCGGTAACAATGTTCCTGCGTGGGGTCTCAGCAATCTGTCAGCCACCTGGACATTCCTGCTCCAATGGCTGAGCAGGTCCTTGCAAACTCAAGGCTCTCAAAGGCAGAAGTAGGGCTGAGAAGGGTGGTATTACCCTTGACCTCTGGATGCCAGGGGCCTTTCCTGAGTCCAGAAGAGGCCAGAGAAGGCCTGGAAGGTCGGACCACCGTTCCCACGGCCCAGGGAAACGGGACAGGCAGTAGGTCTGTGGTGCTGGAGTGTGGATCTGCATTTTAAGAGCCATCTTTTAGGGGTGCCTGGAGGGCTTGGTCCATTAGGCGAAACTCTGGGTTCCAGCTCAGGTCATGACCTCGCAGTTTGGTGGGTTTGAGCCCTGCATCGGGCTCTGCTCTGGCAGGTGGGGAGCCTGCTTGGGATTCTCTGTGTGCCCCTCCCCCACTCATGCTGGCTTTCTCAAAAAGAAACGAACTTAAAAAAAAAGAGCCATCGTTTATGAAATTTAAAATAGTTGCAGAGCTGCTCTGCTGGTGGAGTCTTAGTGGGAGGTGCCAACCAGGTGGGAGCTGCATTTGGTCCACGTCTGGCTGGGCAGACACTGCAGGGCTCACAGTGGCTCCTTTACGTTAACAATATGGGTGTCGGTTTGAAAGATTAGAAGTGGGCTCAACTGGGTTTTTAGGAGTCCTCAGTCTGGGGCTTTGTGCAGTGTGTGTGAGTGTGGTTAAGTGCCATTTGGGAAGTGGTAAGGTGGTGGACATTTCAGAATTCGATTGTATGTTACAGGAAGTAATGCTCATCTGTAATGAACAATCCCAGATTCCAGTGGTTGAGCCCAGTGAAACTCATCGATGTCACAGTCCGACATGGGGGCTCTGCCTCATGTTGTCAGTCAAGCGTCACGTCCCATCTAGCCGGGAGCCACATCCTAGGCCACATCCCAGTGGATTCTCCACTGTCTTGTTTGCACCTGGTCAGCAGGTGAAGGCAAGCAAGGAGGGTCCGGTGGAGGCCCAAGGGGTCAGGCCTGCAGGTGGGGTGAGTCAGTGTCCCCTACCCTCATTGGCTAGAGCTCGGCCACTCGGCACCAGTGCAGGCTGAGGACACAGAGGCCGGTGGTGGGCCCAGCCTCGGCCACGGGTGGTGAGCTGCCCGAAGGAAAGGCTGAGCTCAGAGTACGGGCACACAGACGTTCTTTGCCCCACTCCACCAGGCGAGGGCTACGGCTGGGTCGACGAAGAAAGCCGGGGTGGGGGTGAGAGTCATCGGGGGACCAGCACCAAGTGCTCTGGGGCTGGCGCTGGAAGTCCGTGTTCCGGAACTTTACAACCCAAGTTCCTTGAGTGAAGCCTCCGATCTGTCTCCTTGCAGGTTTCCTGGACACGGGGGCAGGCACAGCAGCGGAGGGAGGTGGCCCCGCCTCTTCTCTGCCCGTGACGCTGACCATCTTGTTAGTCACTCCCTGGGGACTTCTAGATTCGCTTCCGGTGGTGGCTGTCACCATACGCTGCCTGGCAGAAAAAGCAGACATGTGTTCTCTCGCAGTTTTGAAGGCTAGAAGTCCAAAATCCGTTTTACAGGCCCAGGTCAGGGTCCTGGCAGGGCTGTGCTCCTTCCGGAGGCTCCTGGGGACAGTCCCTCCAGTGCCTCCAGCCTCTGTGAGCTGCCTGTGTCCCTTGGCCTGTGGTGGCCTCTGCTGCTTTGTCTTGTCTCCCGCCTTCTTCTTGTAGAGACACAGGAGATGGCATTTAGAGCCCACCTGGGTAATCTAGGGTGATCTCCCTACCTCAAGATCCTTTTTGCAAAAGAAAAAAAATATTTATTTTGAGAGAGAGAGAGAGAGCATGAGTGGGGAGGGGCAGAGAGAGAGGGAGAGAGAGAATCCCAGGCAGGCTCCGTGCTGTCAGCACAGAGCCCAACACAATGCTTGATGTCACGGACCATGACACCGTGACCTGAGCTGAAATCAAGAGTCAGATGCTTAACCAACTGAGCCACGCAGGCGCCCTGCTGTCTCAAGATCCTTAATGTAATCACATCTGTATTTTTAAAAAATAGTTTATTTTGGGATGCCTGGGTGGCTCAGTCGTTTAAGTGTCCAACTTCAGCTCAGGTCATGATCTCGAGATTCTTGAGCTCGAGCCCCGCGTCGGGCTCTGTGCTGACGGGTGGGAGCCTGAAACCTGCTTCCGATTCTGTGTCTCCCTCTCTCTCTGCCCCTCCCCTGCTCATGATCTGTGTGTGTGTGTGTGTGTGTGCGTGTGTGTCTCCTTTCTCAAAAATGAATAAATGTTAAAAAATATTAAAAAAAATTTATTTATTTTTATTTTTTAAAAGGTTTCATTTTTTGAGTAATCTCTACACCCAACATGGGGCTCAGACTCCTCAACCCTGAGATCAAGAGTCACACACTCCACCAACTGAGCCAGCCAATGCCCTGCATTTCTTGTCCTTGTCCTTCTCCTTCTTCTTCTTCTTTTTTAATAAGGTAACATTCACAGGTTTCTGGGGATTAGGGTGATATACTTGGGGGCCATTTTCTGGCCTAGCACAATTTGGCTTCTTTTGTTTGCAGGAAGTCATGTAACACATTCACCATCTCAGATGAGCTGTCCTTCCTTCTCCTGACTGACCGACGGTTCCAGACCAGAGAGTGCCACTCGGATTCCAGACAGTTGGTGTTTAAAACGATTACAAGCCCACTCTCAGTCATCAGCTCACTTTCGGGGTGAAGTCCTGGGCCAAGAACGCAGGATTGTATCCACTTAGCAGGCTCTGAGACGTGCCCTGATGGATCCAGGGGAGTGGGCGGCTGGGGGCCGGTGACCAATCTGCCCGCCTTTGCCAGCATGAACAGGACCAGTGGACGTGACTCCACGTGATCCAGTGAGAGTAGGAGGGGAGCCTGTCACTCCACCCCAGCCTCCAGGACAGAGTGGAACGCTCTCGGGCCTGCAGAGTTCAGGAGAGGCGGTTAAGTAGGAACACCTACTTCTTTTCTCCCAGTCTTGCCGCCACTTCCCTCTCTGCGTGTGTATTTTCATTTCCCTGTACATTCCTGCTGCTGTGTTCTCAGTTGTTCCCTGTGGATCCTCTGAGTAGCTGTGACTCAGAAAACCTAACAACAGCCTGGGACACGGGGGGGGGGGCCGAAGTAAGCATGACCCTGTGCTTTAAGGAGGCCCTTCTCATCACACCAGGCTTGTTTGGGACTTAGTCTCAGTGAGGTCCGTGCTGTTCCCATGATTTCTCACAAAATCTTCCCGGTAGGAAGCAGGAGACCAGGTCAGAACTGCGGGCGGGGAAGCTGGCCGACCGGGTGTGTGCCCCCAGGGCCACCTGCTCTCATCCACCAGGCCTTCCCTTTCGGGGTGTTTCAGGTCCCACCGCACTGAGATGGGAGCAGAACCTTGGGGCCCTGCAGTTCTCTGCCCTGAGTCCCTCCTGCAAGAGGCCTGGGCACACAGGGCTCGCTGGTTTCGTACAAGGGTCCTCACGGCTCACCATCCCACCGGGCATAGGGCTCCATGCACACCCAGACCGCCAGCATGCAGGCGCGGTGCACCTGCTAGGGCCCCTGGGGGCTCACCTGGGTCGGGGAAGAGCTCTGTGAATGGGCCGAGGCTGGGAAGCACTTGGCAAGTCAGGGAGCGGCATGTCCAGCACGTCCTTCGGTCCTTCGGTCACGATGTGTCTGAGAGACTGCGCCCCGACCAGCAGTCCCGGCTGCCGCCCTGGGCCTGGGGTACCCGCGGTGGGAGCGGAAGGCGGGCCTGCGGAGGCTTCGGGCACACGGTGGGCCTGTTTCCGCCTCACCGGAGACCAGGTGAGGTTCCTGACACGGCTCACTTCTGCACCCTGCTTCTCAGGGCCCCGCCCGCATCGGGACGGGCAGCCCCCCCCACCCCCCGACTCCCCAGGTCGTCGGAAAACGAAGGTGCGGAGGGACCGCCGGCATCACCGGGGGCGGGGGGGAGGGCAGACCCAACCCGGGCCCCCACGAGGGGGGTCCCCAGGCCTCGCGCAGACCTCGGCCGTGGACGGCACCCTGTCCGCTGCTCTCCGTGGCGGCGCACCGCGTCCACACGGCCCCTCGCCCAGGCACAGGTCGGGGGACGCGTCTGGTGCGTCCCTGGCTCTCCAGGCGCGGTCTCACCACGCAGGTGTTTCCTAAGCGGGGAGGGGCGGGCCGGGCCGGCGGAGCAGCATCGCCGCGGCGACCCTCAATCCACCACTTCGTTCTCCGTCTAGCTCCGACCCCTCCCTGACAGACAGGTGCGCTCTAGGACCCAGCGCCTCTCGGCCTGCCGCCTGGGTGGGCGGGTCCCCTGCATTGTGACGTCACTCGGAGGCGGGGCTGCGGCGCTGGGACGGACAGACGGAAGGTGCACGCAGAACAGACCGGGCGGGGCCGGCGCGGGCGCGGGTGCGGGCGCGGAGGGTAAGGGCCGGGCCTCGGATCCGCAGGCCGCGTGTGGACGCGGGCGCGGCGCGGCGCGGGGACCGCCCTCCCCTGGCTCGGGGCTCGGGGCTCGGGGCGGGCGGTGGGTCCCAGGACTGAGTGTGTCTCCCCACCCCCGGGCCGTGCGTCCCACCCCAGACCGAGCCACCCCACTCTCCTGCTGAGCGCGCCCCCCGGGCCTGAGCGCGCCCCCGGGGCCGAGCGCGTCCGCAGGGCTGAGCGCGCCCCGGGGCCGAGCGCGTCCCCGGGGCTGAGCGCGCCCCCGGGGCCGAGCGCCCCACCAGGGCTGAGCGCGCCCCCAGGACTGAGAGCCCCACCGGGGCTGAGCGCGCCCCCGGGACTGAGCGCGCTCCGCCCCACCCCGGCCGCGTGTTCCCGCTGGGACGCAGCCATCGCCCGCCCCCGGACTGAGCTTGCTTCCCAGGCCCGCGTCCACCGCCGTGCGCCCCGCGCCTCTTTCCCCCCGCGGGTGCCGGTTCGCGTGCGCAGGGCTCCCGGAGGCGCCGGTGTCTGAGGAGGGGGTCGTGCCGCCGCCGTGAGCCTCCGCGGGCTTCCGGGAGCGCCCTGGGAGCGCGCCCCTCGCTTTGCCTCCAGGGCCCTGCGCCGGAGTTCACCTCCTTTCCTCTCTCGCCAGGCCCCGATGGTGGAGGACTGCACAAGGTAGCGGCGGCGATGTGGGGGTGACCGTCAGCGCGCGTTCCAGGACCGTGAGAGCGGAGGGCCCCTGGGCCAGGTGGACGTCAGTCGGGATGGAAGCAGAAGGCTTGGATTGGCTTTTGGTCCCCTTGCACCAGCTGGTGTCCTGGGGGGCAGCCGGGGCCATGGTCTTCGGAGGGGTCGTGCCCTATATCCCACAGTACAGGGACATCCGGAGGACTCAGAATGCTGAGGGCTTCTCTACCTACGTGTGTCTGGTGCTCCTGGTGGCTAACATTTTACGGATCCTTTTCTGGTAAGTTGGGAGCTTTCTGTGGGGGTACTTCCAGGGTGATGGCTTTCTCTTTTTGGGGTTTCGGAGTGGGGTGGTGGTGCAGGCGGCTGTACTTCCTAGGAGGGAGCTGGTGAAGTGGGCGGGACTGTTCCCCGGGGAAAATGGTGGGATTGGAGTGGAGAAACTTACTGTAGTCTCAACGGCCGCGTCTTCATTTTCTGTCCTTCTTACGTTGTCAGATATTTTCCCACGGACTTGTGTGTGCTGGATAAGGTCCTAGAACTGGGTCCCTGTCCTTAGAATTTGCATGGGAGTGGGAAAGAGAAAACAAGGAATGAGTAAGTGATTAAGATGAAGAAAAAGGGATGAGCTGTAGGAAGGGGACCTCACAGCCTGACCACTGACCACTGCAGCCCCTTAGGAGGGGACATCACAGCCTGACAGGAAAGAGCATTCAGGGGTCATGTACAGGGACGGTGGTCCCCTCAGCCTTCCTGTTGTGTGTACGGTTTTGTTTTGTTTTGTTTTAATAGGAAAGTCAACTTTCTGGATAATACTTAAGAGACTATTTTTTCTTGCCACTCCCAGCCCAGCTTCCTCTTATTATCATTTGCATTCGGGTGAGGAACCGGAAATTAATTTTAACAGTTGCTAAAGCGAGACATGTTTGGGAGGGGGAGTTTTTAGAGGAAATGAAATGAGATCTTGGAGCCTCATTCTAAGACTAAAAAGGTCTGGAACTTTCCTTTCTACTTGGTGGCGCCCGGACCCTCTGTGAGCACAGATAGTGAGGAAAGTTGCTCCGGAGGGTGGGTGGGTGTGGAGGCCGGATAAGGGCACCAGGCGGGGGTGTCCAGAGCTCTGCTTCTGGCCCTTCCTTCTGACTTGTTCGTTACTGAGTAATCACGTTTTTTGCTAGTTCTTTTTCTTAAGTTTATTATTTATTTTGAGAGAGAGAGAGAAAGAGAGCGATCAGGGGAGAGGCAGAGAGAGGGAGAGAGAGAGAGAGTCCTAAGCAGGTTCCACAGTCGGCTCAGAGCCTGGTGCGGGGCTTGAACTCACAAACTGAGAGGTCATGACCTGAGCTGAAATCAAAAGTCAGACTCTTAACCGACTGAGCCACCCTGGCTCCCCAGCTAATTCATGTTTGAGTCCGCCTTACGGAGGTACGATTTTCGTGGAATAAAAGCATCCATTGTAAGCGTACAGTTCGATGAGTTTTGACAACGCCCCCTTCCCGTCACCATCACAACCAAGAGATGACTGTTCTGAGTCCCGAAGTTCTCTCCTCTGTGTTCCATCCAGCCGTGGCCCCATGCCTTTGATTTGTGTCCACTGTGTGTTAGTTTTGCCCTCGTCCGGGGCTTTTAAAAGGTGAGCTGGTAAGTTGGCTCCTCCCCGGAGAATGTGTCACACCGCCAGGTTTGTTCTGGGCCAAGCTGCTTTGAAAGGAGGGCCAGTGGGTGCTTAGTTTTTTCTTTGGCGCAAGTTGAAGAACCCCATTTTGAAGATTCCTTTTTTTCCTTTGGGGACAGAGCTCACTCACTTCAGGGTGACACGTGGCTTCCCTTTTCTAAAATGGCCTTAATCCAGTCTAAGGTTGAACGGAAGCAGGTCCCAAAATGCAGTAGCCTCTGACACAGTTGTTAACCCTGAGCGCACTGGAGGGTGCTCAGGGAGCCCCTGGCCTGCCACCTGCCTGGTGTCACAGCGTTGGCCAGGAAGGGCACTTCATTAGGCGCCGGAGTGAGTTTTCTCTGGCAGCGGAGGGGAAGTGCCCGAGACTGGCTTCCCTTATGGGAAGGGGGGGCGGGACAGAGAGCAGTTGAGACGTCTTTTCCTTAAGAATACGCATCCTTCGGGGCGCCTGGGTGGCTCAGTTGGTTGAGGGACCGACTTCGGCTCAGGTCGTGATCTCGCGGTCTGTGAGTTCGAGCCCTGTGTCGGGCTCTGTGTTGACAGTTCAGAGCCTGGAACCTGCTTCGGATTCCGTGTCTCCCTCTCTCTCTGCCCCTGCCCCATTCATACTCTCACTCTGTCTCAGAAATAAATAAACATAAAAAAAAAAAAAAAGAGTACTTATCCTTTACGATTGCAGAGAAGAGAATAGGGTATCTAATCTACGTCCAAATACCTGGTTTGGAGAAGGCAGAAGTTAAACTAATTTCTTGAAAGCCAAGTCACCAGGGCCTCTGGATTTAACTGGCATTTAATGCGTTTGGACTAGAAGTTCTCCCTTCACTGCCGGGCCTGGGACTTTGAGAACGAGTGTGTGCTCTCTCCTAATTCAGCACAGGGGGCCTTTAGTGATTCTCAGTTTTGTCCACGGGCCAGCGTATTTCTGTGCATCCGATTGGTCCTTCCCCGGAGTCTGCACCCTGAACCGTCCTGGGTCACTTCAGGGGTCCTGTGGCTACCGTGTGAACCCCAGCGCTGCCTTCAGGCAGTATTCTGGGATGAAGGGGGGCTGGCAGAGGGCACTGGTCCCTCCTCAGGAGTCTCTCTGGCCTGGGCATGTGCTTCTCACATAGGGCAGTACTTGGATTTCACGGGGTGAACCCCAGCAGGCAGGCTGGGCTCCGCCTGTGGCTTGTGACTAACATGTACCTTTCTGCCCACCTAGTCCTAAGACCCCACTCCTGGGCCTCCTCCAGGCTTCATGGGTTAGTGGCCCACATGATTTAATAGGTTTTAGAGGGTTTCCCATGTTCCAGACGCTGCAGATGCCGCAGGGTTTACGCTTCAGCAGAAGCATTGTGTGGAACGTACCATTTACACACATACAGGTCATGGCGGGTGCCCCCTGAGGGGGAAGCAGGGTCTACACTGGAACAGTGGTGAAGTTAGAACTGAAGAGTGTGTTTCCTAGAGCTGGCTGAGAGCGTGGTCCTCAGAGCTCCAGGCTGGGAAGCCTCCTGCAGACTCATGGAATGAGCTTGTGGGTGGCCCTGCCGCCCAGGGAGGCCAGCGGAGCTTGTAAACCCCAGGTTCCTGAAACTCGTGAGACCCTAGCGCTTTATTTCTTACAATTCTTTTTTTTTTTTTTATGTTTATTTGTTTTTGAGAAGAGAGAGAGAGTGAGCAGGGGAAGGGCAGAGAGAGGGGTACAGAGTTTCTGAAGCCAGCTCTGTGCTGACAGCAGAGAGCCCAATGCGGGGCTCGAACTCATGAACCGTGAGATCATGACCTGAGCTGAAGTCGGACGCTCAGCGGACTGAGCCACGCCGGCGCCCTGATTTCTTGCGATTCTTATCATCCTTTTGCAAAACTAGCATTCAGCAGATTATATTCTATAAAATGCTGATGTATAGGATTTTGCCTCTGTGGTGTCAGGAGAAGCCAAGAGAAAGGCTAACTGATGCCTCGTAGCTCATGTTTGCAGGCTTGTGATTTTGTAGAAGGGACGAGGAGGGTGGGGCCACGGTGCACAGATGATGTTGCAAGGCCCCCCCAGAACTTTGTGTCTTGGTAGAGGTAGTTCTCAAGCTCCATTTGTATTGGATGAACATGAACACACTGCATCAGAGATACGCTAATGTTGGATCAGATGCGTAATAACATTGTATTGGATGCAGTGACGTTGTATCAGGAACGTGGGCACACTTCTGCCATGTAGTGACACCGTATCAGATGTGGTAAGGTAGCATCATCTATCAGAGATGTAGTAGGGCTGTATCGGAGATGTATTAACACTGTATCAGACGTGCAGTAAACAAAGTAACTGAGACGTGATAACACCGCATTGGAGACCTGCCTTAGCGCTGCACTGGATACGGCAACGTTGTGTCAGCGACGCCGTAAGCTGTTTCCGAGGTGTGGTAACACTGTATTTGGACATGCAGCCTGACACTGGATGGGAGATACAGGAACACTGCCAGAGATACCACACCGTTGAGGACGTAGTAACATTTTGCTAAGGGTGTAGCAGTTGGCGTGACACAGGGAAGCAGATACATAACTTCTTTCCGCTTGAGCTTTACTCTGTAACTTTGAAGACCCGGAGAAGGTGATCTCTGTGGAAACTTTGGGCGAAATGTTGCCTGTCCCCTCTTCGGTGTGTACCTTCCTGGGGGGTGAGACCTAGGGACACTGCAGTTAAGGGAGAACTTTTTTTATTTTACTGTATTTTTTTTTTTTTAGTTAAAATATTTTTTTTGATGTTTTTATTTGCTTTTGAGACATGAGCTGGGGAGGGGCAGAGAGAGAGGGTAACAGGAACTCAAGTGGGCTCCGTGCTGACAGCAGAGAGCCTGACATGGGGCTCGAACTCCAGCCTGAGATCATGGCCTGAGCCGAAGTCGGATGCTTCGCTGACTGAGCCTCCCAGGCTCCCAGGCGCCCCGAACCCTTTCAGAGTGGCTGCGTGAGCGGCAGGCCCTTCACCTGTCTGGTAGGCTGTCCCATCATTTGTTCTGAGAAAAAGTTGTGCCAACCCATATTGTCAGGGACAGGCGAGGGCAAAGTGCTGTCACGACATCCCCGTCAGTACAGATTATTAGCATCAAAGGAAGAAAAGCATAACTAATTTGACAAGTAAAAAATGGTATCTTTGTATTTTAATTAGTTTATGAAGTTGCTAATGACATTGAACCTTGTTTCATATTTATTTTGTCTCTTGTGTATCTTTTGTGGAAAGTTGTGCTTTTTGAAATTTTGTGTCTCAGCCTGTCTTCACCCTAAGTACTCACCTCTGCTCCCTCTCGCTTCACTTTAAATGGTCTTGTTTTTACTATAAATACTGAGCTCATCTGGATTCGATTTTTGGTGGGTTTTTTTTTTTTTTTTATGTTTGTTTACTTTTGAGAGAGAGAGAGCATGTGCGACGGGGGAGGGGCAGCGAGAGGGGGACAGAGGATCCCAAGCAGGCCTGTGCTGACAGCAGCAAGCCTGATGTGGGGCTTGAACTCTCAAACCATGAGGTCATGACCTGAGCCCAAGTCGGACGTTTGACCCACTGGGGCACCCAAGCGCCTCTTTAGGTGTGTGGTTTAAGGAGAAGTGCAAACCTTGATTTCTTTGCCCACTTTTTCCAGTCATTGTTTCTGTTGAGCATTTAAAACATGAAAGTGGCCTTTCTCGCATGATGAGCTTGGTGTGAGAGGCCCCAGAGCAGCTTATTTATTGTGGTTCTTCCCGGCCTGCTTGGGAAGGAAGCGTCTCCAGTCTTAGTAGGCTGACATCTAGCTTCTGCTGGCCCCTTGTCTGACCTTCACCTATAGATGAGTTGACCCCTGGGGTCAGCTGGGTAACCGTGGGATCCAGTTCCTAGAAATGACTAGGAACGTCCTTAGATAGTCCCCGGTGTTATAGTCGCACTCTACAGCAGAGATGGGGTGCAGGGGCAGTGGCTCACGGGTGCCAGGGGCCTGGAGCCCGTGTGAGCCTACGGAAGCGCCCCCAGCCTGTGCCTCTGACCTAGAAAGCCCCAGGGCACTGTCACCTCTTTCTTCTCGTACCTTCTCTTCACCCAGGCCTGGCTCATCAACCCTTTCTTGCTCCAGTCACTTAGCATTTCCTTTGCAATTCCTGAGGCACCTCAGGAGAGGCCTGACGAAGCAGCGGGGTCCCAGGTGAGCCGAAGTGACATTTCCTGGGGAGGCAGGAAGAAGCTGGTGGTCATGGAGCCGTCTGCTGTGTCCTGGCCCCTCTGCCCTTCCTGGACCCAGGTGGCATGGGCCTGAGCCTCTGTGACCTCAGGCCTGCTCTGTCCTTTGCTCAGAGGACATGGGCCTTGGCGTCAGGAACCAGTGCAGAATGCCGGTCCTGGAACCGGTGTCTGGAACCCCCACTCCGCAGGGAACATCTGTTTTTTCCTGGTTGCTTGACCTCCTGTGGGAGCCCCAGCTGGTGTGGCTCCCCTCCAGGTGGCACATTCTCACCTGCTGGGCCGGCTCACCGTGGCTGTGGCCGTGGCTGTGGTCGTGGCAAGTCCTCATCGGAGGTGCTGTCTGCTCTCTCCTGAGAGGCGGGTGATCCGAGCTTGGCAGTGAGGTGCTCACAGACGTGGGCTTGAAGACGCCGAGTCGGCCCTGGAGCGGGTGCAGGGGTCAGTGTCTCTACCTTGGGGACATCGCTGTTTCTTTACCTTGTAGGTAAGACTTGTTAGCATAGGCACAGCTTCCAAAGACATGCCCTGGCCGGCGGGGAGGGGCTGCCTCTGGTCTCGTCCTTTACCACGAGCCCGGCCGCTGAGTTTTTGTCCCGATTTCTCATTGATTTGGTGCAGTCCCAGGGGTGGCCCCTCAGGGAGCTCTGCCCCAGCTCTGTGTTGTGGGCGTGGTCGGCCCCCAGTGAGCTCTCTCTGCAGGGGGAGCTGGGTGTAGGCTCAGGCCCGAGGGAGTGAGAGGACGTGGGAGGTGGGGCCCGGGTGGTGGTCTCTGTGTTTTCTTGTTTTCGGGAGCAGCTGGGAAATCAGACTGCAGGCTCTCCTGACTTAGAGGTGCTGACCGCCAGCCCCAGTTTTGGGAATACCCTTCAGGCCATGTTGTAGGCAGACCCAGCGGGGTTCCTTCTCCAGAGCAGCTGGGCTAGAATTGGGGCTGGGCCTTGAAAGAGCACGGTGCTGTGCCCTGGCCTCGTCGATGGTAGTCCCGCAGGCCTGCGTGGCCCGACCCAACAGGTCACGGCTCTGGTGGTTCTGGTGGCCGTGGCGGAGACCCCGAGCTGCCCCCCCGAAGGGCCGGGCTGTTCTCAGCCCCTGGGGTTCGGGTTCTGCCGACAGGCCCAGCCTGTGCTAGTCACTAGATTGCGGTCTCACCTCCTCGAGCTTGTGGCTGAGTTGGTGAGAAGTTCTGCCCCTGGAGGGAAAACCAGCAGGGAGGATGTGAGAGCCCGGCGGGGTCGGGGCCCAGAGAAGAGCGCGAGCCACTAGGCCTCGGCTGGGGGTCAGCGAGACCTGGGTGGGGAGGGAGATTGGACAGAGAGGCCTGGGTCGGCGGGGGGGGGGGGGGGGGGGGGGGCCCCGGGGGGGGGGGGGGTGTCCCCCCCGCCCCCCCCCCCCCCGGGGGGGGGGGGGGGGGGGGGGCCCTGGCCCCCTTCACTGGTCTGCTCACAGCGTGGGCTGCTCTGGCCTGCTGACCCCACTCGTCTTCGTCAGGGGGCAGGGCTTCCTGTCATTCCTGGACTCTGGAATGCATCTTCCCAGGGCATCAGGTGGTCTAGGTGCCTCTGCAGGTGCCTCTGCAGGTGGGGTGTTGGGCACCTGGCTGTGCGGCGAGGGAACGGGGAGTCCCGTCCACACCCTCATCAGCGGCTCCTGGGGAGGTGAGTGTGGCTTTTGAGGAGCCGTGCACATGATTCTGAGAGGTGTCCCCGCGCCCAGCCGTCCAGGAGTGTCCCTGCTCACCCAGCTCTGTGCACCATGGAGCCCGAGGCCGAGGCAGTCGGTGCCAGAGGCTGTGACGGATGTGAGAGGCCCTCTGGGGGCTGCTCAGGATGTGGCCGTGGGGGCCTTGGTCGGGACCTGGGCAGGGAGAGGCGGTGAGGCCCCTGGTGTGCGGGGGCCCTCCTGATGCCGTGGTCTCTTTACCTCCCCAGGTTTGGAAGGCATTTTGAGTCGCCGCTCCTCTGGCAAAGCATAGTCATGATCTTGACCATGTTACTGATGTTGAAACTCTGCACCGAAGTCCGCGTGACAAATGAGCTGAACGTAAAACGCCGTTTCTTTGCAGGTTGGTGATCTGCAACTTTGGGAATAAAGCACTAAATCAGCAAGCAAAGTCATCCTGTGCTCGTGGGTGAAATAGGGAGCCGCGTTAGTGTTACCTGAGCAGCTTTGAATCCACCAAATGCTCGGTTGTGTGTAACCGATGTCCGCGTTTTCAGCACGTTAAATGTTTACTAACTAATCTCAGTGTGCCAGCATCCTCTGTGATGATTATGAGGGGATTCTGAATTGGGACAGGATCAGGTCACAGAAAGATGCTGTCTGAGGAGGCAGTTTTATCTCTGTGTGTGGCTTGTACATGAGACATGCCCTTCACTTGTACCATTTACCTGTGGCCGGGGTAGCGGGGATCTTCTCACACACCTTACTGAACATTCACCCAGAGTCATGCTGCTGTGGGGCCTGGTGAGTTGTCCCCTGGAGCGTGGGCAGGACGGGTTACATGCTCGGCCTGCACTGCTCCGTGACTGTTTGTGGCTCAGCAAAGAGAAAATTTTTCTCGTTTTTGCCTTTTCCTTTGAAAAAGCTCTTCCTCAGCTGATGTTCTGTGTTTGAACACGCAGGGGGTTAATGCCTTACTTCTGGTTTTCTTCTAGTTACTAAATTGAAGACAGCTCTCACTTTGATTTTGTCTGAAATAGTGTGTGTTTATCTCCACTGTTGCTCAGAGAAGTGTTTCTGCTAGTTTGTTTACTTTGGGGACTCCTGTGGACTCGAGGTCTTGCCCCTGAATTTTATTCCTGTCGGTGATTTTCTTTCCGTTTGAGCGGACCCTTTCCCCCTGTAGCTTCTGTCTTTAGAGACGAAGGTATGCTAATTTCAGTCTTTGTAGAAAATAGGTCAGCCTCCAGCTCTGACGGGTGGCCTGGACCGATTAGTGTCACGTCAGCTGTAGAGATCAGCACCATGTGCTTCTGTTGTGTGTTTGTTCTTTCTCGTCTCTCCCTCTTGTGACCTGGGAAATCGCACCGGAGGCGGGGCTGCTTGTATCGCTGGTCCTTCCTTGAGAGCGGGCATGTCCGGCCGGTCCCTTACGAGGCGAGGGGCTGGGCCCTTTACTTGCTCTTACCTAGCAGTTTTCTCTGCTGGCACAGCTCCCGCCCGCGTCTGTCTGTGATCTGGGAACCCCACCTTTCGTGTGCGCAGGGTCTCCAGGCCGGCTGCAGAGCGCCGGTGTGGGGGGCGTCAGTAACGGTCCTCCTGCCCCAGGGACAGAGGAGCGCCGGGAGCGGGCACGCGGTGCCCATAGTTGCTTGGTGTCCTGAGCCTCAGGCTTTGAATCATGAGCCTGGGTTTTGTGATCTTGTGCGAAATGGGGTGTAAGCTCGGATGAAGTAGGGTGCCAGATATCCTGCGGGTGTGCGAGCGTCCGGGCCCTGGACAGTCCTGGAGTTTAACATTTATGTGACCTTGCTGAAATACGGGAACGTAGGTACAGTGAGGGTGAGGCAGGGGCCGACCTTGTCAGCGGGAAGCCGGGCCTCTCCTCTCCTGTCCCGGGGGTTCGTTCTGTCTTGACTTCCAGTGCTCTATGTAGATTCTTCCAAAAGCAGCATTTCTCTTTCAGAGAAACTAGAACGGGTTGGGTTAAGACCGTGAATCCCGGTTTCCAGGGATAGGGCTGCCATCTGAATTTTGGCAAGTAACCCTCTCTGTGATGAGCCAATTAATGGAGCCCGCTTCGCCCACACTTGGCAACCGTGGTGCCACCTCGCGGGGCACAGGGGCTGCAGGCAAGGTGAGTGTGAGGCCTCGGAGGCGGGCGGAGGTTGGCCTGGACTGTCTGGGTGGACCCAGTGTCCGCCGGGCCCGTGGAGTGGAAGAGGAGAGCCCGTCAGGGATGGACGTCAAGAGGATGTGGTTCTGGCTTTGGACGTGGGGGAAGGGCTGGGAGCCAAAAGCACAGCAGGCCTTTGAGGCTGGAACAGCCTTCATCTTCCAGCCAGCAGGGACATGGGGGCCTCAGCCCCCAGGATCCAAATTCTGCCAACAGGTTGGATGCACGGGAGGACCTGGGTTCTTGCCTGGAAACTTCAGAAGGAATATGCCCTGACTTTAGCCCAGTGAGACCCATGTCAGACTTCTGGTCTCCCAAATAGTGAGGTGATAAGTCTGTGTTGTCGGCCGCCGAGTTTGGGGTAACCTGTTATGGCAGCTGTGAGGTCCGCAGCGTCTGGCGGGTGTCTGTTGGCGGGCGTTGGGAGCTGGCCAAAGGGCTGGCTGGAAATCCGCAGACGTACAGGTGGGCGGGGCTGCAGGGGCTTTGACCTTGCAGCAGGGAGCAGCCGTCTGCTGGTGACGGCCAGGACTGTGGGGGCAGTTGGCCTGCCCTGCCGGCCTCCGCTTTGCTGGGGCTCTGGTGGGGTACGGAGGGCCAGGCTCCTGACCCCTGGGCTCCCTGCTGGGCCCCAGACGGCCTCAGGGGGAGAATCTACCCTAAACTCCGCATCCTGGGATCGTATCCTGGGATCTGGGATACAGTGTTTGAGAGATCTTGAGATTCATACTTAATTTTTTTTTTTGATTTTTTTTAATGTTTATTTATTTTTGAGACAGAGAGAGAGACAGAGCATGAGTGGGGGAGGGTCAGAGAGAGAGGGAGACTCAGAATCTGAAACAGGCTCCAGGCTCTGAGCTGTCAGACCAGAGCCCGATGCAGGGCCCCAACCCATGAACTGTGAGATCATGACCTGAGCCGAAGTCAGCCGCTTAACCGACTGAGCCACCCAGGCGCCCCAGTACATGGTCATTGTCGACATTTTGGGGACGAGAGGAACGTGAAGTAAAAGCAAAGAGCTTTCCACCCAGCCGTCCAGAGGTGACATCGGGGGTTCCTTCTGTGCCCTCGCTCATACCTGGGGGAGGTCAGACTGGGCTGTGGGTCTGAGGGGGCCAGGCCCACAGGCTTCAGGGGGAGATCTCCAGAAGCTGCTGTGGACTCTCCGTGTGGCCGCACAGAGGGCGTGAGGTCCAGAGTGGCTTGCGTATGCTGTATGTTTCCTTTTCGTCCCTCGTGTTTTTTCGTGGAGAACCTCGAACACACATGGAGTCGGAGAGAGCGTGTCTGAGCCCCCCCCACCAGTAATCACACCCGCCTCCAGCTGTCCTGAGACCCTGTTCACATCGCCTGCCTGCAGTTTTTGAAGCAAATTCCAGACATAGTCTGTATATAGTTCATAACGGATCTCTAATAGATAAGGACTTGAAAAAGTATCCATAGTACCATTTTCAGCCGTAAAAAAGTAATCCCTTAATTGTCAAACACCCAGTATTTGTGTAAGTGTGCGGCTTCCTCCTCACTTCCCGATTCGGGGCTGGTTTCTGTCTGCGGGCCACAGTCGAGGCGGCACGCCGAGGTCAGCTGCAGGTTCTCCCTGATGTCCCTTGTTCCCCGAAACGTGTCTGCTGTGTCTGCCCTGCACGTGGTGCCTGCTGTGCACCAGCCCTCCGTCTGTGGCCTGAGCGGTACACGCGGGGAGTGTGGGGATGCGGAATTGAGACCCCGGCCCTGCCGCCAAGCCACGCCTGCGTGTGGACCAGACTCCCGCGGCTGCACGGAGGCGGCCCCGCCTGGCTTCTGCCACACCCCGGGGTGGTGCGTCGAGGCTTCCTGTCTCCGGGACGCCCTGTGAAACACGTTCTGAGAAGCTAATTGGATCCAGAGGTCTGGTCAGATCTAGGTCTGGCTCCTTTTTGCCGGACTGTTGTTTCTTCCACAAGGGGCACATCCCGTCACCTTGGCTGACTTTGGATGTGGGTGGTGGAGGGTGCCCCGTGCCTAAACCCATCAGCCGTGGGGCTGCAGAACACCGATGCCCCGTCAGCCTTCGCTCGGCTGTTAGCCACGGGGCTTCTCCGGAGAGGAACTTCCCTGGAATTGCTGTTCTAGCAGTGCAGTTATCCAGGGTGTAATTTGTAAATTAAAGGCAGGCAATTGCTTCCTTCTCTTTATCTGCCAGTTCTCAGAATTGGTCCCTCACATCCTGCAGCTGCGTTCACGTTTGTTTTTCCACTCTTCCGAGTGTGTGGATGTGAACATATTTGATGTGTTCGCCTGATTGCCATTGTCGTGTCCCTTCAAGGCCCCGCGGACCCACCCGTCTGCCAGCGGGAGCCTCTCCGGTCAGCTCTTGACTTTTCGGCAGAGACGAGTGGTCCCTCGGAGCCGTGTCCCTGGTGTGACAGGGTGCTCTGGGCGCGTCATCTTCTGTTCCTGCCCCAGACCTGGACTCGGCCGTTTCTCCCAGGAGCGCTTGTGGCACTGGGCTGTGGCATGTGGAGACCACGGTCTGGCCCCTGGGACAGCTGTGGATTGGGGGTGGGTTTTGGCTTTTTCAGTGGGTGGAGCTGGGAGATTCGTGGCAGACGAAATAGTTCAGGTGTGCGTGCTGACGCGTCCTGTGACCCTTCACCGAGCTCTTCGGTCGTGGCTCTGATCTTCCACGGGCCGAGAATGAAAGAGCCACTTGCTTTGTCCCTGCTCGCAGGGGTCTCGGTGAGGAGGCTCCTGGAACGCTGTTTTGTCGGGGGTCCCGGGATGACATGTTCTTACCGCCAGATGACGTGGCTTATCGGCTCTGGGAACGGTACCACCAGCGGCACACAGGGGCTCACTTGTTCCTTCTTCAAGAGAGAGAAATTGTCTGCGACTCAGTCACATTCACTCGACGTTTGCCCCAAGTCTCAACAGTCCGCTTCCAGAATGGAGTTGGCTGGGGAGGCGGGTGGGGGCACGGGGGGTGCTGTTCACGGAGACGGGGCTCTGTTGTGGGGGACGGAAGTGTTCCAAGACTGCGGTGGTGGTCGTACAGATCCGAACATGCTAAAAACCACTTGATTGTACACGTTCAACGAGTGAATCCTTTATGATATGTGGTTATGTCTGCATTAAACTAAAAACTTGGGCGGGGAGGGTCACATTCCATTCCAGCAATGAAAGCTGAGGACTCCCACTCCCACTCAGTACAATGTTTGTCTGTAAACCATTCTGTATTTTCGAGGGCTTATTGATGTCCTTGGACGTGAGGCTACAAATCCTGACCTGCCCTGTCCACAGCCACGACCCTGATGTAGGTCTTGTCTCTCCTTGCCCGGACCTCCGCCCGGTCCCCTGGTCTCTAGGGCATCGTGTGAGCCACCTGTGGCCATCGCCCCCCCAACCCTCGCGCACTGCAGCGGCTCTCACGCTGTGACAAAGCCCAGAAGCCCCTGGGAGCGGTTGATGGTCTGGCCTCTGGTCAGCTCACCGGCCCTCCCTCCTGCTGCCCCGTGGCATCCAGGACGGCCACTTCTCCTGTCTGAGCTCGTCCCAGACTTCTGTCCCATCAGGTTCTGTTCCAGTCTCTGTGGCTGCTCCACAAGTAACCCCACGCTCGGCGATTTGCAAGGACGCAGTGACGCTCACGAGTCTGGCTGGACAGCGACAGTATGGTTGGCCGTTTGCCGGGGCCCTGCCTCCCTCCCTCTTTCGGTGTCTTTCACCCTCTAGGTCCCTCCCTTTCTCTCAGTTGCTCCCGTGTTGGGGGGTCTGCTGGGAGATCTTCACGTGGCCTTCTCTTGTGGCCTAAGCTTCCTAGCCTCCTCGCGGCATGGCAACCAGGTCGCAAGGGAAGCATGAGAGGGAACCAGGTGGAAGCCGTGTCTGTGCTCTGGTCTTGGGAAGCATGTGTCGCTTCTGCAGAATGGAGTGGTCACAGGCCCCCCGTAATCAAGGGGCGAGGACATGCACGCCGCCTCCCATGGGGACGATGTGGACACGTTGCCGAGGCTGTTTCTGGACCTCGGTGCCTGGAGTGGGTGTTCACAGATGCCTGAAAGTATGTGACTGTGGACGATGCCCCCTGGTCTCTCAGCCTGGGGACTGGCCCTCCTCCCGTCTGTCCTGCGCAAAGATGATTCTCTAAGGTGTAGGCCTGATCTCGCTACTTTCTAGCCGAGAAGCCTTAGGTGGCTTGACTCTGTCCTCCGGAAAGTCCGACACAGGGCAGACTTCCCACCCTGACCCACACCCCCTACCATCTGCTGCCTTTCCTTCCCCCATCATTGTGACCCGAGAGGCCCCCGGCTGCACTCTCCCGCTCCGGGCCTCCACCCTGGCCTTGCCCTGCTGCCTGGCGTGTTTCCAGCTTGTGTGCCGGGCACGATCAGGCCCGAGGCGAGAGGGGAGCCGGCACGGGTGTGTCTGAACTGCACCGGAGCCACGGTGAGCAGTCCCTCCCGCGTCCCCTTCCTTCCCTCCCCTTCCACTTTGGGACCCTGATCTTTAGAGGAAGTGTCGGTGAGCAGTAAACTTGGCCTCAATCAAGAAACAGACGCAGGAAGCTGAGGAAGTCCAGCTGAGTCTGGCTATTCAGAGCCCAGCGGTTCCCGGAGGTGGTGCTGCTGGGTCAAGAAACCCTCAAGTGGGAGGGGCAGCGACTCCTGGTCAGCAGGGTCTGTGGACATGTGCCGTCCCCAAGCCCACATAGCCAGTCTGGCATTTTCTTTTAGCCGTTTACTTGCAAAATGTCCATTTGTAGGCGGAGCCTGCCTCGCCTGGGGCGGATGACACACACCTGCCCCCCCCCCCCCCCGTTCTGTGGCCAGGTCCAGTGCCTGCCTGAGTCTCACTCTTCCCACCGTGGAGGGACTCTGGCCGAGCCTTCAAGGGCCGCGGGCTGCGTCCTGGGCAGTGCGGAGCGGGGGGGACTCGGGTGGGGCTGGGCTCCCTCCAAACGGAGGCCTTGCGTGCTTGTCTTGGGTGCTGTGGCGGGGCTCAGGGAGCGGTCAGGGTACCGCGGTACCCCCGATATAACGGGCCGTCGCTTCTGAGCCGCACGCTTGGCCAGTTCACATGCTGCACTAGTTCCCTGTTCCCAGAGGGCATTTTGTTGAGTGTCCTCTGAAAACGGCTTTATCAGGCAGCCTTCTGAAGAGCTTTGACCTGGGACAGCTGTCTTGCAGTCAGAGCTTGTGTATGGACGAGCTTTTAGGGGAAATGGAGGTACCGCCTGCTGTCTCTGTCAGCAGAGCAGGCAAGCCGTGGGCTTTATGCCGTCTCTGACCTTAGAAATTCAGTGAAAATGTGGTGACTTTTCGTTTTGGCCCGAGATTTCCTCCCCCTTCCCTGGGGACTTACATTGGAGGAGGGTAGGTTTGGAGGAAAATCACTCAGAAAGTAAACTTCCTCAAACTCAGACACCAAGATCTTGTCCTTCTTTTCCGGTGTTTCTTAAAAAAGGAAATGCAAAATGGACTGGGAGACACAGCCGCTTGCCCGTGTTAAAATCGGTCTGTTTTTCTTTTCTGTTCCTCCTTTCTGTTTTTCTCTCTTTTTAAATGTAGCTGCGGATACCCAGGATGAAGCAATCAAGCCCCCGCCCCGGCGGTCATATCTGGGTACGTACCACACCGCACGAGGCTGCCCGCCCGCTGGAGCCCCTGCTTCGTTCATTCTGTGTGGCTCTGTCCCCGCTCAGCCCTCACGGCCATGCTTGCCCCGCGCGTGCACCTCATGGTACCCGTGTGCCCACGTCCCCAGCAAACTAACCAACACATAGCCTGCTACTGTTAAGCATGAGCTAGTTCCTAGAAACCTGCCCATTGTGTGTGTGTGAGTGTGAGAGGAGGAGGGAGGGAGGGTAGGAGAGAGGCGGGGACAAGGAGGTGGTCGGAGTTCAGGTTTCCGAACGCTTTTAAGTCAGTTCTTTTTGCTGCCGTGGCGGACGGAATTGTTTTCTTGATTTCATTTCGCATTGCATGTGGCTATCTCCTAGAAATAAAATAGATTTTCATACGTCGATCTCGTATCCTGCAGCTTCGTGCGTCTCGTTTATTGGTGCTGTTAGCTTTTTAGTGGATACTTTAGGACTTCTGTATGTAAGATTACATCTTCCGCAAATAGAGATACGCTTACTTGTTCCTTCCCAGTCTGGATACTTTTTCTTTTTCTTGCCCAATTACCCTAGAGTCCGAAATGGCTACAACGGTGAGCCTGGCCGAGCTGGTCTTGCTCCCGAGTTGAGTGAGACGGCATCCCTTCACCACTACGTGTGATGTCAGCTGTGGGTTCTCACAGATGCCTCAGATTAGCGGAAGCAAGAACTTTCTGTTCTGAGTTTGTTGTTTCGTTTGTTTGTTGTAGTCCTGAAACAACGTTGAAGTTTGTCTACTGCTTTTCTGTGTCTGTTGAGATGATCGTGTGGTTTTTGTCCTTTATTCTACATTGACTGATTTTTGTATGTTGAACCAACATTGCATTCTTGGGATACGTCCCATCTGACCATGATGTGTAACCCTTTTTATAAGATGCTGGATTCTGTTTGCTAGTATTGTGTTAAAGATTTTTGTGTCCATGTTCACAAGAGATATTGGTGTGCGTGTGTATGTGTGTGTGTGTGTGTGTGTGTGTGTGTGTGTGATGACTGTGGTTTTAATATCAGGACAGTACTGGCCTCGTAAGGCAGGTTAGGGATGGGAAGTGTTCCCTCCTCTTCCATTTTCGGTTGTGAAAAATTGGTACCAATTCTTTATTAATTAAAGTTTTTTGAGGTGTAATCGATACATGACATCACTTTCAGGTGTATGTTATCGGATGTTCGTATGTACTGTATACGTGGTGAAGTACGTTGTGAAATGCGTGTGTTGTACATAGTGAGTCTAGTTGACGTCAGTCATCTGACATGGTTACAAGATATTTTCTTCTTAGGATGAGGACTTTTAAGATCTACTCTCGCTAAGCCACTTTCAAATGTGCAACACAGTATTGTTTTTTGTTTGTTTTTTTTAACGTTTATTTATTTTTGAGACAGAGAGAGACAGAGCATGAACAGGGGAGGGGCGGAGAGAGAGGGAGACACAGAATCTGAGCTGTCAGCACAGAGCCCAATGTGGGGCTCGAACTCACGGACTGCGAGATCACGACCTGAGCCGAAGTCGAATGCTTAACCGACTGAGCCACCCAGGCGCCCCCACAGTATCGTTAACTATAGGCACCATTCTGTAAATTACATCCCCATGGCGTACTTATTTTGTAACTGGAAGCTTGTACCTTTTGACCACCTTCGCCCATTTTACCCATCCTGAACCCCCCACCTCTGGCAACCACCAGTCTGTTCTCTGCATCCATGGGCTTACTGTGGCTTTGTTTTGTTGTTGTTGTTGTTAGAGTTCCACATATAAATAAGCTCATATGGTATTTTTGTCTTTTTCTGTCTGACTTATTTCACTGACAATGCCCTCAAGGTCCATCCTTGTTGCCAATGGCAGAACTTCCTTCTTTTTTCTGGCCGAATAATATTCCACCGTACATATTTACATCACATCTTCTTAACCGACTGAGCCACCCAGGCGCCCCCACACCACATCTTCTTTATCCATTCACCTGTTGGTGGACACTTGGGCTGCACCCACATCTAGGCTACTGTAAATAATGCTGCTGTAAACACAGGGGTGCACACATCGTTTTGAATTATTGTTCTTGTTTTCTTTGGATACATACCTAGTAGTGGAATTGCTGGGTCATGAGTTCTAGTTTTAATTTTTTTAAGTTTATTTATTTATTTGGTGGGGGGGGCGTGCAGAGAGACAGAGACAGAGAGAGAGAGAGAGAGAGAATCCCAAGAAGGTTCCTCACTGTCAGCACAGAGCCCGACATGGGGCTCAATCCCATGAACTGTGAGATCATGACCCGAGCTGAAATCAAGAGTTGGACGCTGAACTGACCTAGCCACCCAGGCACCCCTGCCCTCCTTTATCCTTTATGATTGATTTCCTTTAGTTCTTTGAACATATTTATAATAACTGTTTTGAAGTCATTTCTGCTAAGTCTGGTAGCTGTTCTCTTTCAAAAGCAATTTTGTTTTTTATTTTATTTTTATTTTTCTTCTCTGTGCAGGCTACTTTCCCATTTCTTTGCGTTTCTCAATGTTTTGTTGAAAACTGTTTTGCAAAATACTGTAGCAATTCTAGTTACTGATCCCTGACCTTGGCTGCGGGGAGGCTTGTTTGCTTATTTGTTTAGTGACCTGGCTGGATGAGCGCTGTCTCTGCACCTCTCCTCCCCCAGGTGAGGCTGTGGTTGGTTGATGTACTTGGTCCCCTCCAAGCCCCTGGGTGATCTGCCTCCACTGCTGTCGCAATCAGCTAGCCATTAGAGGAGGCTAACAGGTGAGTGTGACACGCTGGGGCGTGCACAGGTCTGGTCCAGTTGAGGCCAGGCAGGGGGTCAGGGGGTGTCTTGAGGGCAGTCTTTGAGAACTGCTGTGTCCCCAGGATGACTCTCCTTGGCTGTTTGTGTCTGGTAAATGTCGACCGGGTCTGTTTCCCTTGTTGCCATAGTGGAGCTTCCAGCTTCCTGTGATTGCTCAGGTACCAGATTCCTCACTGTTCTGTCAGCGCCCTTAGGCTTGAACTTGTTCATACTGTGTTCTAAGCAGAGGTTCTCCCTTTCGGGAGAGCTGCAGAACTGGCTGTTCTCACACCCCCCGCTTCCGGGACAGAACCTCTGAACCCCTGCTCTGGCACCCGTGCTGGGGCGGCGCGCTGCTCCTCCCACCGTGGGACCCGTAAACCCCGTGAGCTGGGTCAGGATGGTGCTCTCTGTTGGCTGCGCCCGGGGTGGAGTGTCTGTCCCGGTGGGCAGGGAGCCCTGACTTGTCTGCCCTTCTTGCCGGGGGGAGAGCGGGAGCCCAGCCAGAGGTGAGAAGTGTCTGTGCCCGCACTGGGAGCTGTGGCCGCCCCGCCCGGGGTGGAGCTGTTGTCACGCGGGGTCATGTCTCAAACCCTCTTTTCTTAAGTCGATGTTTCTCCGTTGCTGTATGGCCATAGGACGCTTCCCAGAGATTGTCAATGGTGGTGTTTTAGAGTTCACAGCGGTTCTCTTATTCTGCCGGGGACCCTCACGTCGCCACTCCATCCCATTCACTGGGTTACCCGACTGGAGCCCTGGCAGCCGGGATTACACGGGATGTTTCGGGCCAGGAGAGCACGGTCTGTTTTTATTTGGAGCTTCCCTGAAGGCTGGACTCGGGGCCTGGCCGCTTCTTGGTTGGTTTCGTGTTCGTGTGAATAGGACATGTCCTCCGTTGAGTTTTTGGAGGTCGCCTTCAAACTGTACTTGTAAGTGAGGGTGCTGTTTTGACTTGGAGTAAAACTACGTCCCCGTCCCTCTGTGTCAAGGCCTCCCTTGCTCTTTCCCCCGAGTCCAGGGTGCTTGTGTGGAGAGTCACTGCTCAAGCACTTGTCTGCGGGACTGTTGGCCGGGGTGACCAGCCTCCTGCTGGACTGTTGGTGCAGGGCACGGGGCCTTAGCCTGTGGCCTCTTGTCCAGTGTAGGATGCCCACTAACCAGAAATTAGCAGCAAAAGAAAGAGCCAGAAATGCAGTAGGATAAAAGGAAAAGGCTGCTGCAGTTGAGGGGTGCCAGAAAGTCCAGCCCGTCACGGAACCCAAGACGGGCTCACCGCTGCTGGGGGGTCAGCCACGAGGACGTGATGGGCTTACTCTCTGAGAGCATTTTGCAGTGAGGGCCAGTGCTCTGGCTCACTGCTCAGTCGTGCTCAGCTCCCTCGGGTGGGTTGGGGCCTCTGGATCCCTGGATCTGTGTCTCACAGCAGCGGCCCGCTGGTCCCCTGGCCCGCCCGCTGGTCCCCAGGCCCGCCTGGTGGGGGTGGGTGTGGGCGGATGGGGCAAAGGTGGCTCAGTACAGTGAACCCCAGCTCTGAAGGCTGACGAGGGCGTTTGCAGTCCTACAGCCAGATGGCGCTGTTGTCTCTGCTAACCCTGTTTCCCTGTCCAGGCAGAGTGGTTGCAAGCCACCTCCTCCCCTGCCCTGTGGCTTCCCTCCCGCACAGCAGGAGCCCCGCAGGCCCCTGTCCTGAGCTTTCTCTGGTGGCCCCACAGGCGCCACATGCCCCCCCAGAGCCTGGCGTCCCCCTATTCCTTGTTGGAGTGTGAGCTCGGGGACGTGGGGTCGTAGGTCAGGGCTGTGTCCCCGTGTCCCTGGATTGAGCGGGCACTCGGCAGGGTCACAGAGACAAGCACAGGTGCTTGGGCAGGGGCGGGGGACGGGGAGCTTCCAGGAGAGCAGTGTGGTGAGAGCTGAGTGTCTCTTTGACCTGGGGTGGTTTTGTTTTCACGGAGAGTTGATTTTTAAATATTTAAAAATTTTTTGAGAGACCGTAGAGTTAAGGTGGGAATCTGGTAGTGTGTTTTCGAGCTGTTGGAGAACAAGTTGCTGACTTGGTGCTTGGTGACACCCACGTCCTCCAGTGTTCCCTCTGGAAGGCAGGACCTGTGCCTCCACGGCCACAGCGCAGCCTGGTCCCACGAGCCTGGCGCCTGCGGCCTCACCACGCCAGAGCTGCCCTCGCCGTTGGCCGTCCGCTCCCAGGGCTCAG